TCAATACGGTGCCGCACTGCATGGAAATCCCTCGGGTTCGTCACAAACTTAACTCCCAGTATGTCACACTCGCTTTTTCTCTGCAGAACCACCGCCTCACGTAATTGATAGGGTAGGCTGGGGTCTCCAGCCCGTGCACAAATATCATCTCCCAGTTCACAAACTAATGATTGTGGTCCCTGGTTCTGTCTCAGCCCAAAAACCAGATACTCCAGGCTCTCAATCTTCCAGTCCATACCAGCTCGTCTGAGGGCCACGGTCAACATACTCACCATATTCCTCAGCTGATTCGCCGAGGCTGCCAGCAGCACCACATTGTCAGCCCATATGTAATGGTTGGCCAGCGCCTGATGTGTCCCCTCGCCTTCCAATCGTACTCCATAATGACATGCTTCCCATGATTCAGCAATAGAGGCCCAAATTGCCTCCAACACAATATTGAAGAGTACTGGGCCTTCTTTCCCTCCAGTTCGCACCGACTTGTTATACAGGATCTCTTCACTGCACACATCCTGGAAATCAAAAACTGCTGTGTTTCCAATCATAGGCTCCACAATTGCAATAATCAAATCTGTTGGGTATCTCAGATGTTCCATCGCGCGGATCACCATCGAGACAGTGACATGATCAAACGCTTTCTTTATATCCATTATCCCCAAATGTACCGACTCGCCCTTTCCCCAGAGAGTGGCATGACGTGTCGTATGCAGCAAAGGGGCCGTCATGTGATGAGCTTTGTGACTCTTCTGGAATCCATATGTCGCCAATTTTTTGATATGTCCATGTTCCTCCACAAGAATAAGAAGGCACGCCATGTACCACTTGCTCATAACACTCAACAGCGATAGGGCACGAGTCTCCCCAAATGTTTGGATCATGCTCATTTTTGGAATCAACTGTGCGCACAACTTTCTCCACGAATCTGGTGACGACTTTTTCTGATCATGTATTTCTTGAAATGAGTGTCGTACCAATCTCAATGCATTCCAAGGTATTGCTTTGAGAATCTCCGCCACCAGGCCATCAGAGCCCGCTGCGGCGCCGCCCTGCAATCGGGCTCGAGCCCCCAGCAACACCCCCATTGATATGACCCTGTTCGTAGTTCTGCCCTCTGCCTCCCACTGTGTCCGTAGTCGATGCAACTCTCTCTTAGCAGCTCCTCCCTCCCCATCACATGTATATGACCGTTGTACGTGTTTGTTGAGCTCCTCCACCCATCTTTGTTTATTTTCTGTCAGTATCCCGTCACGCACCATTTCCTTGATACACCTACGGGGTCCATGTTTGAGGCCAGTGGAGTCCTTGAGGAGCTGTTCCCGCCTGAACTTTCTTCGGGGTGTTTTTTTGACGTCTCAATAATGGTTTCCTACGCTCACCGAAGACACCCCTCCTTAACTCCGCTTCAACGTCCACGAGTTGGTCAGGTTTTTTGATTGGTTTAGTATCCGCCCTGCCCTTTGTATGCCTACACATCGTCGCAGCACTCACAAGCATCTGTCCCACTGTTTGCATATTTATGTCACCCTGTTGGGTCATATGTTGTTGTACCTGCACATCGGCCAGTGTACTGAACACATTCGCTGACTCATAATCCTCCGGGGCCCAATTGATGAGGCTCGGGGGCCTGGGTCGCACGAAAGGCTTGCGCACCGACGCATGTTTTATCCTCACCCCTACCTTCGCATGGTCACTGTAGCGCGACGCTCGATCCTGTGTAGGATCAACAAATTCCACCGTGCATTCAAATGAGCAGTTGGTCCGAGCCACCTCGGTACCTGCAAATTGTGTCGGCACAAATACATAGTCCAACACCCTGGAGTAACTGCTGGTACTCCACGGCCTGTGCGTCACTTGTCGCACGCCGTAGGTGTTGGCTGCACAAAGACCCCAGTGATTCAGAAAGCGCACGAGCATGTCCCTCCTCTCCTCATGATGTTTCGCCTCCGACCTCATCCACACCTCCTCCAATCCTTCCCCCGTGAACCCCAAGAGATTTGGTTCCAGCTCCGTCTGCGCATCTGTCCCCACAAACTGCAATACTTTGGACCCCTGGTATTGCTCGCTACATAGTTGCATGCATGCACACAGCTTAGCTAGAACGTCACAATATTCATCGAGCCTATCATCTCCCCGCTGCACTGTGGGTAGGTACACTGAGGACACGACCACAGATGCAAATTGTACAACTGCAAACCTCTCACCGCACTTACTGTCCGAAATAGTCGCCGCCCATGGGCCCCTGAAGGCCACAGCAGCTCGTCGGCACACACTAAAACGCACCTGCCACCCACATGCTTCAAATGCTTCCGATGACATGTACTGACACTCCTGCAAGCATAGCACATCATAATGACAAAACTCCAGCATTGCTGGCGAAAGCTCGCTATTCCTCATGTTGACATTCCAAGTTGCCACCGCGAGCTGAGTGGCAGACTGGCACCGTCAATTGTTCGTCTGTCTGAGCTTCGTGAGTAACCCCTCTTGATCCACCTCAGGCTCCACCCTCCTCAGATTATTAGTGTGTAGCGCCCACCCGCTGTGTGCACCCCATTCAGCAATCAGTACTCTGGTGTCTGGATCTGCTTGTGGGTTTTGTGTAAACCATATGTATGATTTTGGCGGCCCTGGCTCCCCCTTGCATGTTGTCCCCGTCGTTTTCTTCACTTCCGCAAAGCAACTCTGGAACTTACCAATCTGTTGGACATGGGGTGTTCTCCATGGCGCGCATTCTACATGAAACTTTACATTCGGCGGTAGGTCAGTGTTTCCCCTCTTGTATTCGCTGTCGAAGCAATTCCGAACCTGCCATATGATCTCCACTGCCGTCCCCTTTTTGAAATAGATCCGCCCTCGTGTGTATGGCCAGTACCTGCCAGTATTCTCCCCCGCAGTTCTCGCGCGATCAAAAGCAGCATTATGTGTTGCGTCCAGCGATGCCAATCCCAATAATTTTGTTATGTTGTCGGTCAGCACCTGTTGTTTCATGGCCTCCCTTTGTTTTATCTCTCTATTCTTCCAACCCTCACGTGATATCCATCCTTTGAACTCAATATATGATGGTACCCAGTTCGAATTATGCCCTGCCCCACTGCCCGGGTCACCTGATCCGTATCTAGTCGAACCGCTTGCGCAAGATTGAGCGTCTCCATTTTTCAGATTCTGAATGTCAGCTTGGGCCTGCTTAGTTTGCTCCGATAACGTTTTGACATCTGACGTTGGTCTATCATTCTTTTCCTCCATGACATGTAAATCAGCTGCAACCGATGTTTTGAACTCACTAACCGTCGCAGTTACTTCACTCTGGCCCTTCAAAATCTGTCTGAACATTTCCTCGGGCGTCATTGTAGCTGGTTGAGGCGCCTGGACAGCAGCGCTTTGAGCTACGGCCAGACCACTCGTAGCCTTGGGGACTTGGGCTGTAGCTAAATGAGGCGCCTGGACAGCAGCACTGGAAGCCGCGGCCAGACCACTCGAAGCACTGGAACCTTTGCCCTCCCCTTTTGCCCTCACCTCTCTCAACCATTCACTACTCGCATTCCCTCCCATTTTGCTATCTTCTGCTTTGTCATCCGCCATGATTGCTGACGAACGTCGTTTATTTCTCTCTTTGACTGTACGCAATGTGCGAAGTGCAGCCTGATATCTATCTGATTGCCCAATCTTCTTGAAATCGTACGCTTCCTGCTGAACAAATGCCTCTGGTGGAGAAATTTCCAATTCCAGTGCTATCTGATCTTCTCTCTTCTCCTGCGTCGTTAATCGCGGCACAGTAGCTGATGTGTCTTTCAACCAATCACGCGGATGCGGGTCACAATCCACACCAAAGTCAGCTGACGTGAAATATTCACTCTGATCGTCTTCTGATGGTATAATATATGCTCCCTGCGAGTCCGTTTTCAACCCAACAGCCCACAGTGGTCTTTGTAAAATCCAGACAGATCCTGATCTTCCTGCGATCCCCACGATATCTTGATATCAAGAACGAGAGCGAGGATTCAATGTGAACACAGCCCCCGCGGTACGTCAAACACGCACCGCACGAGAGGGGGGCTTGAGGCAAGCCTGTGCGTGCGCCCTGACGCGGGCCCTGTTCGACGTCGAACCCTGACGTCTCTGACGTCTCTGACGGCTACTGATGTAGCTCTCGAAATTCAGCGAATCGTTGGGCATTGCCGCTTCGCTCGAGACATCCTCGAAACATTGAGGCGTTGAAGCCGCGTGTTTGAGACGTCTTTTGTCAAACATGAGGCTCTCGCCCGAGACATCTTCGGAAAACGGCGCTCGCGGCCTCTTGGCTCGAGATCATGTCTCTTCCATATATGATGCCTCCTCCGTCTCTGAGGTCTCCCCCGTCTCTGAAGTCTCCGTCTCCTCCGTCTGAGGTCTCCTCCGTCTCTGAGGTCGCCTCCGTCTCCTCCGCTACCCCCCTCCTCCCCCCCCCCCCCCCTCAGAGACATCGGGGACCGCAGAGGGGACCTCCAAGACAAAAGAAACCTCAGAGACGGAAGGGGCCTCAGAAACGGAGAAGACGGAAGGGGGCTTCAGCGACGGAAGAGAACTCAGAAGGCGGAGGAGACCTCAGAGACGGAGAAAAGAGGAGCAGGAGGACGAGGAGGAGGGGGGCGAGGAGGAGGAAGACGAAGGGGACAAGGAGAAGGAGGAGGACGACTTCAGAGACGGAGGAGACCTCAGAGCATGGCACGGCATGGGGCCGGGCGAACAAAAATCCACCTGCCGAAGCTGCGGCTCGCGAGCGGGAGTGGCGACGAGGAGCCCGCGGGCCACGCCGCGCAGGCGCGCCCCGGCGACGGACCTCCCAAGAAGGGGGAACCGTGGCCAAGGCCCCACCACCCCCGCGGGGACGGCGACCCACGGGCAACCGAACGCAGCCCGCAGGGCCCAGGACCCCGCGGCCCGAAACGAGGCCGCCCCCAGGCCGCCCCCAGAAGGGCGCCAGATTTTCGAGCCGAGCCAGGCAACTACGCGTAGCCGCCGCCCACTCAGCCCCAATTCATCTGGCCCCTTCTCTCCCCCCTGTGCTTCCGCTTCTTGCCCGCGGGCGCCGCGGGCTCGGAGCGGAAGTCGTCGACTGCGAGCCCGAGCCCCTCCAGCACTCTCCCGAGCGCAGCCTCGTGCTCCTCGGGGCCAGGCTCGAAGGGGTCGCAGGCCTGCGCGATCTTGTCGCAGAGGCCGCCTAGAGCGTCTGCGTGGATCACGTCGCCCCCTTTGGCTCTCGTCCTCGGCCAGCCCCGTCGGCACCTCCGCCTCCGCCATCGCCTCGCGCTGGGGGGTGGCCACCCGCGGGGCCGCCAGCGCCGCGGTACCGAAAACCGCTGCGCCTTCCAGCTCGTCGTGCTCGAGCCGCCGCTGGGCGCGGCGGCGCGCCGCCGCGGCGGCCGCCCTCGCGCGCGCCAGCTGGTTGGTCTCGACCGCGGCCCCCCAGCCCCGCGGCCCCCTCGCGCTCGGCCCCCCGCCGCCAGAGAGGCTCGCGACCTTCGTCGCGTCGTCCGGCTCATTCATCACCTCCTTCTCGTACTCATGGACGGGTTCGCCCTGCTCGGAGCCCGCCGCGGCGCTCTCAGAGGCGCCCGCCGCCGACGCCCCCGCTGAAGACGCCGTGCAGGACCGCGAAACGCCCTGTTCGGCCTCCTGGGCCACGCCCGTCGGCACGTGAACGATGTTCTCGACGTACTCTGCCATCGGCACCTTCACGATTTTCTCGGTCTCTTTGGGCCCCTGGGTCACGCCCGCCGGCGCGTGAACGATCCTCGACGTGCTCTGCCATCGGCACCCTTCCGATCTTCTCGGTCTCCCCAGCAGAGGCGTTCAGCACCTGGATGCGATCGACATGACGCCTCATCGCCACCTCCACAGTCTTCGCCTCGACCTTCACGGCCTCCAGCTTGACCGCGTCCTCGGGAAGGTCCTCGACGTCCCGATCGTCCTCGGCCAGGCCGCGCTTGCCCAGCACGGGGAAGAGAGGGACTGCAGGGAGCTCCTCGCATACAGTCTGGACGACGACATCGCCCATCGGCAGGTGGACGGCGACCCCGACGTGCTCCGACGACAGCGCGTCCATGCTCGGGTCGAGCACGCGGGCGACCTGGTCGCTGAACGCCTTCGTCGGCTCCTCTACGGGCTCGCTGGCCTCCTCATCGGTGCTCTTGCAGTCCCCGATGAACTGCTGCGCCACAAACACAGGCTGGTCCCTCTCGACCACGAAGGCCTCGTGCGCACCCCTGAACGCGCCCCTGAGGAACTCCAGGATGAGCTTCTGTCCCAAGCGCAGGGGGTGCACTTCGAGCACCTCGCCGCCCGCGTGCAAGATGGCGGCAGGTCCGCCCATCTGCCCGGCAGGCCACGGCGGCGCGCCACGCTCGCCGCAGACCGCGGTCACGGCCTGGCCATGACTCCCCGCAGACGCGCCGCTCGGAAGTACGCCTGCAGAAGCTCAGGGCCCCCCCGCCCACAGAGCCAAAACGGCTGAGGAGACCTCAGAGACGGAGGAAACCCCAGAGACGGAGGAAACCTCAGAGACGGAGGGGGCCGAGACCTCACAGACGGAGGGGGCCTCAGAGACGGAGGAAGCCTCAGAGACGGAGGAGCAGGACCTCGAACTAAGATGCTGCGAGCGCCGATTTCCGAGGATGTCTCGGGCGAGAGCCTCATGTTTGACAAAAGACGTATTAACCGCGCGGCGTCCACGTCTCAATTACCCGAGGATGTCTCAAGCGAAACGGCAACTTCCAACGATTCGCTGAACTTCATGAGCGAGCTCAATAACTCACGTTCGAGAATGTCTCGATCGAAAGCCTCATTCTTAACAAAGAAAGAGGAGGAGGACGAGGAGGAGGAGGACGAAGAGGAGGGGGAAGAGGAGAAGGAGGAAGATGACGGAAGAGACGGAGGAGACCTCAGAGACGGAGGAGACCTCAGAGACGGAGGAGACAGAGACTTCAGAGACGGAGGAGACCTCAGAGACGGAGGAGACGGAGGAACCAGGACCTCGAGCTGAGATGCTGCGAATGCCGTTTTTCCGAGGATGTCTCGAACGAGAGCCTCATGTTTGACAAAAGACGTCTTAACCGCGCGGCTTCAACATCTCACAATTTCGAGGGTGTCTCGAGCGAAACGGACTGTCGAGGGGAACCTGACTTGACAAGAACGGGAAGCGACGCTTTGTCCACGAGGTTTGTCAGATAACGTCTTGTTGAGCACGCCAAGAGCTAAGTGTTTGCCTGTGGTTGTGGTTACTCTGGTGCGAGCGTGCGTGCGTGTACGCGTGCCTGTGTGAGCGGCTGTGTGCGTGTGTGAGCGCGTATGTGCAGGGTTATGTTATGGGAGCGACGGGAGGGGGGGTGCATGGCGCGCGTGCGGGATGCGTTATGGGGGCGACCGGCGGGGGGGATGCGCGGCGCGCGTGCGGGATGTTTTATGGGGGCGACGGGCGGGGGGGGATGCGCGGCGCGCGCACGGGATATGTAGAATGGGGGCGACGGGCGGGCGGAATGCACGGCGCGCACGCGGGGTGCGCCATGGGGGCGACGGGCGGGGGGATGCGCGGAGTGCGTGCGCGATGAAAAAGGAAGAGATCGAGGAGGAGGAGGAGGAGGAGAAGGATGAGGAGGAGGAAACGGAGGGGGAGGATGAGAAGCAGGAGGAGGAGGAAGAGGAGGAGGGGGGAAGAAGAGACGGAGACGGAGAAAATGGAGGAGACCTCAGAGACGGAAGAGACCTCAAAACCGGAGGAGACCTCAAAGACGGAAAAGACCTCAGAAACCTCAGAGACGGAAATGACCTCCAAGACGGAAGAGACCTCAAAGACGGGAGGGACCTCATAGACGGAGAAGACGAAACCTCAGAGACGGAGGAGACCTCAGAGTCGGAGGAGACCTCAGACGGAAGAGACCTCATAAACCTCAGACACGGAAGAGACCTCAGAGACGGAAGAGACCTCAAAGACGGAAGGGACCTGTGCATGGGGTTAGAATACAAAGGTACAGAACCCCTGATCCGTTGGTAGAGGAGAGGAGGGAAAGATGGATATCTTTTCCTCCTGCACGATCAAAGATCCGATCGATCTAGTCCAATACCTGAGCCCAAACGGCCAGGCGCAGGAGAGGTGAGGATAAGGAGTATATATGAGAGTAGTACACGGGTTCTATTCACACACCCCGTCCCGAATCCCGCCTGCGAGGGCAGGACTCGGGAGCAGGAGAAAAGATCCCGTCACCCTTTTACTCCTCAAAACCTCAGGCCTGTCAGGCAGCTGAGCGTTAAATCTGTATCGCTTCAGCTGCGTCCCAATCGCGATAGTGGTCACGATTAGGCAAGAGAAGGTAAGGAGGATCACCCAGGGTCCCTGTTTCTTCGCCAAGCACACTTTGGTGCCCCCCCGGCGCGCCCCAAAAAAAACGCTTCGGCACTCGAGGGCGGAGTAGAATGAGACGCGGGCGGGCGGAGAAAGAGGATCTGATCAAGTTAAAGCAACATCAAAAGCTGCCGCGCCTGAGCGCGGCAGGTGTTGCCACCGGCTCTCAACCGAGAGCTGGGCATCACATCGCTCTCAACGCAATGTTATCAAATTCTAAAAAGTGGATTATGAAGTCGCGCTGATGAACGCGATCGCGTTGAGAAGCACGTCTACATCTCAAGGCAAAAGATGCATGGCCATGCGTAAAGTCGCGTTGATAAACACGAGAAGCTGCATAAACAAATTCTGCAATTGGTTACTCCCCTCGGCGTTGCTCCTTAGGAGGCTGCCTTGGGCTTCACAAGGGTAAGTATGGCCACTTTTCTTGGATAGCGAAGTGGCCTAAGATTATATTGCTATTCGCCGCTCGAGGCGAACTTGTATAAAGATGAAGTTCGAGCCAATCGAGCGGTGGGCCTTGCGGCCGACTACACTACGTGTTGCCCCTCGCGTAGAACCTCTGGCCCCACGCCCTGTGGCCACCCTCCGCGATGTAGCTCGTCGCGAAGGTCTCCCAGGGCGCCCTCGGGGTCCAGTGGCGGAACCTATCGTTGTGCAGCAGGTCTCTGACATGCACAAACTCGTCGTTGTTGTCCGTGATGTGCATCCAGCAGTTGGCATAGTAGCCCCAGCACCTGGGGCCCCACTGGCTGTCCTCTAGGTTCTTGCGCCACCACGTCGCGTAGTCCTCCGTCCTGCGCGCCCTCTTGGCGCGGGGAGGTGTCGTTGGTCTGCGGCTGCCATCGCTGCTCTGCCGCTGCGCGGCGGCGCCGCGCGGCCCAGCGGGCGCGTCGCCCTGCGCGCCAGAGGCACTGTGTCCAGCAGCATCGCCAGGAGCAGGGCGCGGCGGCGGCGGGCGCCGCGGCTGCCGTGGCCCCATGGCGCCATGAGAATGTGAAGAGTGTGTATCAGGATCAATCGGATCGGCTCTAATCCCTGAACTAACCCCCCTTTGATCTGTAGAACCCATGGCAGGTTCGATAGAGGCAAGCACGGCAAGCTCTCGCTGCGTGACTTTCTCGCGAGTGCCATCCCCGCGGGGAAGGGCAATCGTGATAAGTCCGCGCTCTTGCCTCGTGCCTCGATCGAGTCTGCCGGTGTTCAACCGCCATTTCTTCCGACCAGCTTGGCCAGTCCTGACGCTGTGATCGCGAATATCACAGGCGTCACGCATGTCCTCAATAGTGTAAGCCTTCTCGCCTTTATTGACACGAGCGGCTGTCATTTGGTGGTGGAACTTTACATCGCCCAGGAAACGCTGAACGAGATTGGCGAAAGGGTGGTATAGAGGTCTGTCCTCCTCAGTCTCGCCCATCAACCTGCAATACCGTGCAGGAGGGGAGCCTGCTTCGACCCGCCTCTTATACCTGTCGTCAGCTTTCTTCGCCAATCTCCTCAAGGAATCCTTACCAGATACGGAGCGCTGACCCATCATCTGGACCTGCGCTCCGTCTGTCATATACCTGGTGATGCCGTCCTGGGAGAGGGTCGTCTTGATCCAGTGGGTCAACTTCTGGAGGTATTCCAGGTCGCTCTCCGCGGCACCACCTTTGCCGGTAGCACCTACAGCGACAGTATACTGCCAGCAGATATCACAAATTGTACCGTCATCTGTGACGAGTCCGAGAGATAAGAAACGATCGCAATTCCGACATCGCGCGATATCATGCTGGATCTCCTCTGGGGCCCCGGAGATCGCAAGGTGCTCACGGGATCCCCAGCGGGTGTCGGGGCCGCTGGCGAGAACACAGCCGATCGGATCCACGGCATCTCGATTGATCTCAGCGGTCGGACGGGAGGCGATCGATCGGCTCATCCCCTCTATCTCGATCCTAGACAATCTTCCCCCCGGTAGTCCTGCGTACCAGGAGGTGTCGTTGTCCGCAGTATCAGTAACACCATGGTGTATGTTGTCTGTGCGGATGCGGTTAGCCTCTGCCTGCAAGATGGCCTCATTGTCGCCCATCTTGCGGTCGATCCTCTTTTTCTCGGCTATGATATGTACCATGGTTTCTTGGTCTGGAGCTGCGGAAGCAACGCTGCCGGGGTCCCGGGGAATATCCTGCTCAGCGCCTGGGTCGTCCTGATGAGGCGCGGCAGGTGTCTCCACTGGCTCCCGCCATACGGGGAAGCCTGGATTGCCATGTGTCTGGATACACTTTGCGAAGAGATCGCGCAACGCCTTGAGGGCGGGATGGTTCTGATAAATAACATCATCTGTAAAATCACGTAGCTCCTTGATGCTGTCCAATAATATGATTTGGTACACTTTGGAAATCCATTGAAGTATGCCTGTGGTCGATTCCTCAATGCCCTCTGGGTCCAGGTAGTGCACTACTTGCTAGAAGAAACTATCTGCACTGCAAATCGGTAAGTCGCGTGCCCATTTGTGGGTATGATTGTAATCCATGTGGTATATGTCTGTTGTTGGTCCAAATTGTATGTCAAATCGTAAGTGTGACTCTATGTGGTCCACCAAAATCTTGTCCCTGCCAGCGTGTACCTCGATTATTTGTTTCACTTTTATCATAGGTGAATCCACCAACAACTCCGACGTCCAGCGGTATATGCGGTGGTCGTAAGATTGCAAGATCCATATTGTGCCATCCTCTGGGTCGTAGTCGGGGTGGTTGAGGAAGGTCTCTGGCGGGTCGATAATATTATCCAGGATGCTCGAGCCGATGTCTTCATCAGCGTGAATTTCAGCCGATAGATCTGCCCTCGTGGTATCATTGGCTGCTTTCTCCTCATCTGTGAGTGGTATGGTAGATATATCCACAATGACAGTTACCAGAGGCTCTGTGGATTGGCCTGCCTCTTGTCGGGATCCATCGTCTTCTGCAGTGGGATCCTCGGCAGGTCTTGCCGCCAGCTCGTCGGGATCGGGTGTCCGAGGAGCGGGGCGTCTGGTCGGTGCACGTGGGATA